CGCTTCTCCTTATAGGGATAGAAAGCCCTTTCTCCCGCAGAGCGGCTAGTGGTCTCCAACTGCTGACCTTGTGATCAGCAGCCCACTGTGTAAGCACCATCCCATCAGGGCTAGAGAAGAGGAAATCAAATGTGGAACCTATTCCCAGGCATCCAGAATGTGGTTCTGACTGTATGCTGTAGTGAACATGAGACGGGTTCTGTGGGAATGAGAAACTACAACATGGCCAGGTTGCCCCTGGCTTCACAAAGGAAGCATTTTCCAGTCAAACAGCATACTTCTAATCACCTTGATTGGTGTCTCCCTTACGACTCTGGTAACTGCAGGGTCAGCTGTTCAGACTCACCTGGGGCGAAAAGAGGAGGCTGTCTGTTCATCTGAAGATGTATAGTCTCGGACACCATAGTCAGTGTGAGTTGGACTTGACATTGACGGTGGTGAGTGTTTCCCTTCCTAAGGGGCTGTGCAATCACTATTTCCCACAAGGTAGGCATTGCAATCGTCCCACTTTACAGACGACAGAATGGAGAGTTTATGTTGAGGCTGTTTGCCAAGTTCTTATGTGCCCCAAACCAGTAAACATGGAAACATCTTATTCCCAAGCCCACATCCTCAATCCTCTCCAATGTCCTCCCTACTGGTTCTGACAGCCCACCCATCTTGTCCTTCCCCTCCCTTCTCCCCAGGCAAAGGAAGTTCTTTCTGTGTCTCTGAGTTGCTGCACAGGTGCCCATGTCTGGGGACCCGATTTCTGCCACTTGTACTTCCACGAGGCTTTTCTGATTTGACTACACGCCTTTCTTTTCTGATCTTCGACCAGAGCGGCTGGCGGTTTCCAGCTGATTGGTGGCTTCCACCTCCATCTTCGACAGAGATGTTTAGGCCGGATTAGTCCTCTGTAGTTGGTATGTCACCACACTCTCTGGTGTCCTCATCTTAGGAAAGTGCATCCTATCTCACAGGCTCCCGCGAGGACTGGAGGAGATGATTCATGCTGAGCAGCTGATCGATAACAGTCACTCAGGTGGCAATGGACATTATGATCACTTCCTTGCTAGTTCACCTGCATAGAAATGCCATTCAAACTTCTGTCTTCCCGAATAGATGCTTATTGACACACCTCCCCATATACCAGTGACCTTCATAGGTTGGCTATGCAATGCTTTAGTTCACATCCTATCGTAAGCATGGTTAGCCTCATGCAGGATAATGCAATGAATGCTCCGTGCTGGTTAACTGGATTCGAAATTCATTTCTTCTGAAAGGCTGAGCCCGTCTGGAGAACTAGGGCCTGATACTTCTTGAAATTTGCTAATCACATCTGGTTTAGCTTTAGGCATTTTCTGGGCTTTGGCCAGCAGCCATGGCATTTTAATGGCCACAATAAACCTCAGAGCCTCATCAAATCTTTGCTGTATGTGTGAAAATTATGTCCTCTTCAATTAAACATGCAATCTTAGCTCAAACCGAGGACTGACGGCCAGGGAGCTTAAACCTGAACGAGAACCGTAGATGAAATAAACCGCCACCACGCTGGCCATCTTTCCAGATGGTATTTAGAAGAGCAAGAAAATTCATTAGAGAACCTATGGTCTGTATTTTCTTTAAATATTTACTGGGTACCTTTCATGTGTTAAAACACTGGCATTTCTCAAGATTAGCAGGGCATTTTTTTGTTTAAATATTCAATGTGTGTGGGAGGGGAGCCGCCCGCTGCTCCACTGCCTTTGAGGGTCTTCAAATCTTTTGGGGGAGTCCAATACACAAGAGGAAAAAACTATATAACGGAGACAATGTTCCCAGGGCCTTTGTTTCTTCATAGGGTGGCTCCTGCAACGTCAGAAGCTCTTTATCTACTGTAAATGTCCGTGGAATACGGAGAGATCCGAATGATGTCTGAGAGCCTCTCTTGAGAAAGCAACAACTTCAAAGGGAGGAGTGTTGAGGGAACCCCTGCCCTTCCCCTTGACCGGTAGTGGAAAAATCAGAGTTTCATGTCCGCCCATGGGTACCCTCGGAGAACAGCCTGCCGGTCCACTTCCCCAAAGAAATGGCCTGGACAAATCCAGGGGAGAGCATTGCGACACCGCAGCAGTTGGGACTGACAGAACAGCGACTTGTCTGAGCTCCCGGGCGGCGCGAACAGCCAACCTGCTTGGCTGCTAACCAGAAGGTAGGAGGTTTGTGTCTGCCTGAGGTCCTGGAAGAAAGTGGCACTGCACTTCTAAAGCATCAGCCCCTGAAAGCCCCTTGGCACACCGTCCTACTCTGACACCCCCAAGGTCCCCGGGAGCTCAGGAAGGGAATCCGTTTGGGGGCACTGCCGAGGTCTGTGCCTGAAAGGCCGGCCTTGGAAGAAGGGCTAGAGAGGAAGGAGGAGGACACAGAGATGGGGCTTCTGATCGGAAGACTATGGAGAGGGCAGAGCGAGGGCTTGACCATGGCCAGGAGACAGAGGTGATGGAGGTGCAGGGCCTGCAGGGTAAACAAAGGAAGCTCTCCCTCACCACTGTTGTCCCCACAGCTGGTCTGAGAAGCGGCCTGGGTCCTTGCTGAGCTGCTGGTGACAGAGAGAAGAGACGGCCATGCAACCGCTTCCTCTTGTTGGTTTGTTTCGTTTTGCAAGGAGAATTAAGCACTTCTTCCAGACAGAGAGAGCACTGCCATTTCTTTAGGAGAGGGTATAAACCGATCACATGTTCCCATGTCATATTCGTACAAGGAGCATCTCTGTGATGGTATTCACTCTCTCAACCACATCAACGGGGGCGGGGATGGGGGGACAACACACATGTTCCTTTAAAAGCAATGTACAAGGTAAAAATATTCACTGGTGACCACGATCGTTATTTAAGAGACGTTTGATGCCCAAAGTAAAAATAAATGGCTCCCCCTGTCACCGGATGCAGATCGTGCCGCCCGCTCTACGTCCATCTCCAAGATGCCCTTGGGCCGAGACTTGGGTTTCTGAGCACCCTTTCACAATAAACATTTAAAAAAAATGTTTATTTTATGTCTTAGTGTAAAACTGTTCCTGGTTGAAGCTCCTCATTTCCTCAAGCCTTCCTTTTGGCGCTCTGGGCTCCATTTCCACATTAACACGCTCCCTAAATCCCCCGTAGAGCCCTTCCACCGGCGTTATACACGCGTCAAGGCAAGTATTTATATTCTTGGACGAGGAGATGTCTCCACAGTGAAAACACAAGCCCTAGAAAGGCCAAAGGAAAATTCCTGCCCAAGCGAGACCTATTTCCATCTTTTAAACGCGCCCAAAGGGGGCTTCCAGTATTTTGTTTGAATGATTAAAAATGTAAATAGAACCAAAATAGAATGTTTAGCTGTACGGTTTACCATCATTATTAGACTGATGCGCACACATCGAATACAGACGGGTGTGTGTGCATGCACACACATGCGTGTGTGCTGTGAGAGAGAGGGAGGCAGCACTGTGAACTATGAAAATCAGGTAGACCCTCTTGGACCAAGACTGAAGTTCAAATCCCACCTCCCAATGGCTGGGTGACCATGATTTATCTAAGACTTTGTTCTACACTGTAACATGGGGCTAAGAGGGTTCCTGCCTATTAGGCTTGTTATCAGAATAATATGAGACAATTCCAGAAGCTCAACAAGCTGTGAATAAATGATTGCTGCTCCTAGCCCTATCGCTGTTATTAAAACCATTACTATTATTAAACACACAGGTTCCTGGGTGTGGCAGATGGTTTACGCTGGCTGGGCTGTTGGAACCCCCCGAGTGGCAACTTAGAAGAAAGTTCCCGGCAGCCTGTCTCAAAGTAGATGACAGCCCAGAAAACCCCCCGGGGCTCAGTTGTGCTCTCTAACACATGGGTTTGCCACACGGCAGAACTGACTTGACTTCCCCGGGCTTGCTGGGCAAATATACGTGGAAGATGACAACATACCCCAACATTTCAAAGAGAAGGAAAGTTTCATGAGTGCTAAAGTGTCCCTTACTGCACCAAGGCTGTTCCAGGGGACAGTTTGAAAATGTCACATTAATTGTATGTGTATTTATTTATCTTCGCAGCAAAAATACATCCATGCATGTGGTGGAGCATCACGGGGCCAAAGTTAAGAAAATTTTAGTTGTAACCAAACAGCTTAAAGGAACGAGTGAGTCACTGGGCCTAGGGACTCAGGGTCTTAAGAGGCAGGGCACGCTGGGGTCAATGGCTAACTTAGTTCACAAAGACAATGTTCCGCATCCTTCTTTGATGAGTGGTTACTGTTGTCTTAAAAGCTCATGAGCAGCCATCGAAATTCCCTGAATCTGGAAACAAGAGATTCCCTGAATCTGGAAGCAAGAAGACTGTTGGAAATAGAAAGCCACATGGAAACAATGAGTTCGAAGGGCTAATGGACCATTCCAAATATTGGTCCACGATCCTGAGTCCAGAAGACCTCGATGGTGCCCGGCTACCGCAGCCAACTGCTGTGACAGGGATCACATGAGAAGGTCCTGGAAAGAGTGGGAGAAAAGTAGCGAACAAAACTGATCATCATTAAAGAAGACCAGGCTTACTGGTCAGATCAGAGACTGGTGGACCCTCTAAGACCATAGCCTTTAGTCAGTCTTTGGTCTGGAACTGAACGCGCACCCCTTCCCTGGCTGAATTTTCAGCCAGACAGTAGAAAGTTCTGTACGAGGGACCCGTATCTCAGAATAGTCAACCATTTGAGATCAAAAGGACAACACTTCCCCAAAGACCACGTTCAGGAGGGTTAGAAAAGCGGGAGGGATGGAAGCAGGAGCCTCGGGGAGGAAGTGGGATGAGGGATGGTACCTTGAATGGAGAGCGATGAACGAGAAGAAACCAAATGTGTCTAAGACATTGAATGTAAAACCAATGATCTGACCTTCACCAGGTTCACAATAAAGTTTAAAAAAAATACACAAAACTGCTGACATTCGAAAAAAAGAGCTTTTTCCAAAATAGTCATGGCTAGTATCACAATAATGGAAAAGGTCGTATTACCTTCCAGTTGCCGCTTCAGTTTTCTCAGATCTTTGATGAGGTCTTCAAATTTGACTTGAGAGGCCAGAAAGAAATCCTGAGGCTCAGGCAAGGGGAAAACACTCTTTTCTGTCCCTGCTTCCTAAAAGAGATGGTAAACCAAAGCACATTATTCTTCCCAGTCACTTTCTCTCAAGGTCACACGCACACAACTGTAATGCTGTTTGAATGAATATCATAACAATGTTCCTCTTTGGGTCCCAAATTTGGAGTGGTTCTTTCAAAGAGTTTTCTTCTTGTCGTTCACACTTTGCTTATGGTTTTGTTGACATTGACGTTGGCTATGGCATGGGTTACAATCTATGTTGCGTCACGACTCAAAGAAAAAGTTGACAGATAGATTCTGATCTGGGGCACATGAAAGCACTTACATTGAAAGCCCCTGCTTGCGTTTCACATGCTAGCAATTAGATAAGTCAGCTTTTGGATGTCCGTGGGTGGGAGTTGAAAGGTGCCGGATACAAAGGCACTGCAATGGGAGCGGCTACCACCCATCCTTCCGCCGTTACCCACCTCCACTTCTGCAGCTTAAGCTGTGTGTGTGTATGCACGTGTGTATGCACACGTGAGTGCGTGCGTGCGCGTGCGTGCAGGCACATGTGACCACGTTCTTTTAAAGGCTTTTAAAAGGCTTTCCCAATGCTGTTCAGCTTATTTTAGGAGGCATTTACTGAGGGCATGGTTGGGCATAGTTTAGACAGGCTCTGCAGTTATACCTAACAGAGGATCTTAACTGAGAAACATCTTGAAGGATAAGATCGTTGGGCATTGAGGACGATAAGCTGAGCCTCACATGTCTTTTCCAGCCTAGCTGTTTTCTCCCTGAGTTGTTTAATACCAGCTTTGTATCTTGCATATCTCAGGCCGTCTCCAGTTATTCCCCTCTCCACTTTGGGTGACTGTGCCAGCTTTCCTCCACAATCCATCTTCCCTACTGCCATTAGGACTAACTCCAAACTCTGAAATCGCTTTACAAGGCACTTTACGATTTGGCCTCTGTCTCCCTCCCCTGTCTTCGTTCGTTCTACCTTACCCTTATCTCCAATTCCTTCCCCCAGGCTTTCGTTAACAAACACAGTCCAACAACACAAGAATTTTTTTTTTCTAGGTGTCTTGGTTTTTAGGTTTGTTCCAGGGATTATTTGGGACTTTCTTAGATATGGTGCTCCACTATATTGTCAGCTATTAAGTTACACTAATTTATTAATTTACCATCCTAGTTTTAAATATGAAAAGAATTCAGACCCACAAATTACAAGATGAACAAAAAGGGTAAGACATATTAAAAAAAATTTTTTTTAAGTAGGCATATTAAGGGATTCCCAAGGGAACCCGGATTTGGACCCATGGTGGCAAGTTGGTTATGCCTTGAACTGCCAATCATAAGGTCAGTGGTTTGAACTCACCAGGCACTCCGCAGCCTTAGAGAGATGTAAAGGTTTGGAACCCCAAAGGGGCAGTTATCCTCCCTCTGTGGGATCACTGTGAGTTTGAATGGGTTAGATGGTAGTGAGCTTTTCTTTTGGGTGTTGGAGGCTGTGCAATATATACAGAAAGTACATGCTGCAGACTGCAGAGGAGCCAGTCCAGCTGGAGGAGAATGGGAAATCAAAAAGAACATTCAAAAGGCACATGGATGGAAGGTGTGAGGGCAATTTCAAATGCCCATAGCCGAAGACTTCATAGCCCTTTTCCTAACTATCTTGAGGCTCTAAGCGGGAATCTCCAAATGATGCAGTCAACATTTCAGAGCACATTTTAATATCGCGAAATCCATGGACATTTCATGCTACATGTTGCCGAGGTGAAGCGGACACCAAGCTGCTTTATGGGGAAAATCGAACATTTCTTCAAGAGCTTCTGAGCACAGATGGAGAAGTTGTGCCATCGTGTCCCGAGACTGGCACAGTTTCATTTTTAAGAAGGTGTCTGACCTCTGACAGGCTCATTCTGGGTTTGAGAACCTTTGAATGTCTGCATTTACTCATTGTACCAACGTCACTACCAGTCAGTTAATTGTAACTCGCAGTGACCTTCGGGGACAGAGTGGGACTTCTGAGGTTCTGGGGTGTAAATCTTTATGGGGGCGGAAGTCTCTTCTTTCTCTTGCAGAGTGGCTGGTGAGCTCGAAGAGTGACTACCCACGCCATCATCAGGGCACCTTATTTATTGCACAGTGCCTCTTATTTCTGGTCGCTTTTTAAGACACACTGGAATCACCTGCTCTCCAGTTCCTAATAAAGGTGAAGTGATACTGGGGTGAAATTCCAAGTTCAAGTAATTTGCACTATTCGAATTAACCTTTGGACCAAAAGACACCATGTGAAGCATAACTTTACTTTTAAAGTATTTAGTACAGCACAAACTACTTTACATAGATCCAGGGTGCACTTCCTCTATCTCAGGCTACTCCATTAAACAGGGCATTAAAACACCCTGGTGTGTTTATGGGTGAGCAGGGTGAAGACTGCTATGTGACATGAGTTCTGTGTCTCTCAAACCAGAGCTTGTGGGGGGAAACTACCAGCATTTCTGAGACGGCTGGTGAAATGTACCGACGCAAGTCGAACACCTGAGGCACCAAAGTGTGCGTTGGCCCAGTGTGATGGAAGAGGACGCCTCTCACGCTCTGGCTTCCAGGCCTTTGTCTGCAACACGGTCCCCCTCCAACTCTTCCCCATGCCCTCCGCCTCCCTCTGCTCACCACACCCTTTCAATCCCGAGAGAGATGACACCTCCTCCGAGATTCCCTCTAACTCCAGTTTCTCTGAAGTGTATTCTAAGAGCTGTGGCTATTAGTACCACCGCACTGACCAGCACTTATTTTACAATTGCCTTGTTGGCTTGTCTGTCTTCCCCACCACACTATAAACACCCTGAAGGTCAAAACTGTGTCTTCTTCTCTGGGCAGTACACACGTGTGTCATGTGAATCAACTTCAGTCTTCAGTTGGTCAGCACCATTACTGAGCGCTTTCAGGGAAGCGTGTGCCTTTAGCTGGAGGTAACGATTTATCATATTTTCTTTGATTTCAAGATTTCTTTGGACCCTTCCCCTTCCTCTAAGGACGGTAGCTTCACGTAGGATGTTAGGAGAAGGCGGGTATGTGCTGTTTTATCAGAATGTATTTTCCATGACCCATGGCCCCCAAATATTCCAACAATGGAAGACGGGCTCCGTCTAAGAGCCAAGGAGCACCAGCATCTGAGCTGTTCACCGCAAAGCTCCAAGCTGTTCCACACTGGAAGGGCTCAGGCATAATCTCTTTCTAGTTTCCAAGACTCTTTTTTGATCACACTCAATTCTGGTTTTGATTTTTTTAAAAAAAAACTAGGGGAGGGCGGAGGAAGAAGAAGAAAATAGTACTGAACAAATCGACTGGGTAGCTGTTCTCATGAACGCTCCTCCATTTGAGTTCCAAAGAGAGGGCTGAGACAGGCTTCCTTATACTCCACAGAGCCGCACTTGGACCAAGAATCTGACCTGAGTGGAAGGAAGCTTGGAGCAAGAGCCACCTTTCTTCAGCTAATTGCTCATCCCCACTAAGCACAAAAATCAGCACCTTGGCTCCTGGAGGGAGGGGATGGCTTAATAAATCATATAACTCTACACTCTTGCTGAGTGAAACGCATTTTGTGCAGCACAAGCCAAGAGAGCACCACAGAAATGTGAACCTCTTATTTTTCCCAGCCTGGGCCATCCGAACTTTGAAAATGTCCTTGTCGTCGGCTTCTCCCCTGTGACGTTGAGTCCACGGGGGCCACTTCTCGTCAGTGAGAGTCATGTGTCACAGGCACAGTTCAGTCTTTTAAGCAACACGTTTCACTCCAGCAAGGCAGCCACTGCGCGGTACATCTGCTGGTGCCACGCTGGGACTAGGAACTTCACTTCCAAAGATTGCTCAGGGTAATTCCACTGCCACACTGTGGCCAGACCTCAGGGGATGTGCCTGTGTGCTTCTCCTTTCTTAATCGCCTGAAGGTCATCCCACTTTCCCTACTCTGCCTGCAAACAGCTCTCACCTCCTCGGCCCTAGTTCTTTGTAAAGGCCTCCCCATTTGACTCAGCAAGTGATGGTGGGGACCTACGTTAGAGACGCCGAAAGAGAGACAGCGGGGAGTTCTGGATTTATAGAGCAATACCAGGACAATGGAAAATCGCTGAGAGATAACTGCTAAAAAGGCAAAATAACACAGGTGATGAGAGGAGCCCAGATAAAGTGTCCCTGGCCTCTGCCAGATGAGGGAATGAGGAAAGACTTTATGCAAGAGGTACCACGGAACACTGGACTTGCAGCCTGGCTAAATGATTCAGTCTATGCACATTCTCTTTTGCAAAGGTGACCTGGGTCCTTTACACTTAGGAATTGAACAATGAAGATGAAAATTTCTGAAAAATAGGCTCTCCTAGATATACTCAAACATTTTCACAGACACCTTTCTGCGTGTATTTATATTCACATATTTTACTTATAAGCACGTGCAGTTCAAGAACCCTTTGCAGTGCCATTCAATCTCCTCCTCCATACTTTTCATGGCAGTATGCCATTTGACGGGACTACCATCGTCTCTTTGATCTTAGTCTCTACAGTTGGACATGCATGCTCTTCCCAATAAGTTGCCATTATAAATTACTACAAAGAAAATGATACAATTTTTGATTACTTTCTTTTATTTAAAAATTCCCAGAAAGTTTCTTTTATATATTTCTGTAACTTTCACAGAGAAAGGTGGGAGATCTTGTTAGCTCATACAGTCCCTTTGTAACGAATACGTCCCCCCTGTGGGGTCGGGACAGCACCTTGAGTACACCAAATGGCAAGCCGGTGACATCACTGGTAAAATTTTAGAGTGCTCTTAGGAGGTCTGAGTTTGGTGAGTCAAGGGCAGGCTACCCAGGAGGATTATTTGACCTTGAGATCTGAAGCAGAGAATGCCTGCTCATGGGTACGTAATGGCCCAACAAAGTGCCACCCATTGGTGATTCCCGTTTCTCCTTATCTTGGCCTTCTCAGGCTCTATCGTTTAAAATCAAAACAACAAAAAACTTTGCTGATGCGATGAGTAAACAATGATATGAGTAGTCTATTATATATCCTCCAGATTTCATCTCACTACATAATCTTATTGGCCATTTATAACTTCCATTGGTCTTTTGTAAGTTGCATGTGGCCCCTTTTTGACAATCCCCGCTCCCTCCGGCCCCAAGGAGAAGGGGACTTGTTTTATCTCATTGATTCTGAAGAGTTCTTTAAGCTGCAAATATTTTCTCCAGCATGTTAAAAATGTAGGCTTTGCTTGAGTTATTTTTTGAGATCTTGAAGTTATTTTTTTTTTAATTTAATCAGGTACTAAAGCTTTATTGTTATTTTTTTTAACTTTTATGCATTCAAAGTCATCAATCTCTCCTTTTATGGGTTATGCATCAGTGTGAATGTTCTGAAAGAACTTTGCTCCCAACTAAAATCAAGTATCATAAATATTTATCTAAATATTTTTGCGTGTCTTTTGTGATTTCGTTTTTTGCATGTGTTTACATTTAACTAATTTCCTTTTGCAAAATTGCTTTAGTTTCTGGAATAAGGTAGAGGAGAGAATTTTAATTTTGTTCTTTTCCTATTTACTTAAAATCTCTCATCTAACTTTGATGTAGGTTCAGTTCTGAGTTTTCCATTTGATGCCCTTGAGTTTATCTTTTCTTGGGCAATCCCATAATTTTAATTATTATGTAATTTTATAATACACGACAATATATGAACGTACTATATGCTTTTGATTATTTTGAAACTATTCCATCAATTTTTGTCCAAGTCTCCATGTATATAAGATTTAAATGTTAAATAATGCAAACTTCTAAAAATTGTTTGGTATTTTAACTAGGACAATACTAAACATGTATTCAGAAAGAATGGACTGTTTATGAGCATTTTCACCAAAGATTAGGATCAAACTGTCTTTTAAAAACGTCTTTCTTTTTGTGTCCATAAAAGAAAGTTTATTTCTTCATAAGTGTCTCTATTTTTCCAGAAAAATCTTATATAGATATAATAATATACATGCACCTACTCCTTCCTCACTTATCAACTAGCTCATTATCTGGTATTTTGCAGCTATGACAATTGTACAGAATCTGACAATTTGGTGCATTAATGGCACACATCTGGCACTAATGAACATCAAAGTGTGAGGGGAGAGTAGAGCTGCTGCCGGTGAGAGAGAAGCCTGTCAACGTGGCTCGGCCAGGAGCCTCAGGACTTGGCAGTCATGTGAAGACACTGTCCCCCCCACCCCATTTGTGTGCTTGGATATGGTCGCTCTGCAGACTTGCAGAATGCCAGTTTCCGCATAATGGCCCCATCTTTGGAATCTAAGCATGTGCATAAGGGAATATATGCGAAGACATAGAGTACCATGGACTTCCAGGAGAATGAGCAAATCTTTCTTAGGAGAAATCCCATCAGAGTTCGCTTTAGAAGCAAGGCTGATGGGACTTCACCTCATGCACTTTGGACATGTGACCGGGAGGGACGAGTCTCTAGAGAAGGACCCCATGGTAGAGCACTTGGTGTGTGGGGGGGTTGGCTGGGAATCAGGGTGGTGGCAGTATGCTCTGATCTTGGACACTCTTCCACCATGGTCTCCTCAACATGAAGGCTTCACGCAAGGCTGAAGCAACAGACTCAAGCCCAGGAACGACTCTCAGGATGGCAAAGAGCAGGAGGATTTTGTTCTGTTGTAAGTAGGGTCACGGTGAGTTGGAACCTATTTGACTGCACCTTACGGCAACAAAGAACATTTTTTGCAATGGCTCTTTTGATTTTTTATTTCTAAGGCAAATGGGGAAGAAGAAAAGAGAGGCTGCATACAAAGACCAGAGGCAAGGAGAGTTCCAGGTGGGGAGATCAGAAGGAGAGGCATGTTCATGAGGAAGCACAGGGGGTATTTAGACACCAGATCTCGAGTTAGACCATAGAAAACAGGTAGAGAGGCAATAATAAAAGTACGGCTATAAGAGATTCCTATGAAATTAGGTGGTGTCTTAATTCACTGGAAAGTGGGGAGAAAGTGATCTAACCAGAGGTACAACACACCAGGCATAAACCAGGCCACCGAAATGAATGAGGTGGACTGCACTGGGGAGTAGTCAGAGGAGGGAGGCTGGATGCCGGCGTGTTGTCCTTATACACGGGGCTATCCTGACATCTGCGCAAGCCTGCTCCATGTGGATTGAAGAAGGGACCGAGAAAACCCACAGTGGAATATACAAAGCATCAGCCTGATAGGCCAGGACTTAAGTTACCTGTCATCACATCAGGGCAGAAATTTCGGAGAGGTGGGAAAATCAGAAGCCCGGTTCTATAGATATCGTGCACATACTAAGAACTGTCTGATGATTGCACCAAGAGGCAGGAGACTAAATGAGAGTTTCTCAGCGATTTTTCATCCGCGCTTCCCTCTTCTTCTGGATAAAGTTGCCCACCTTTTTCAAACGAGGCTGTTGCCATTGTATTTTTCTCCCCTCGGTGCTGCGGTGTCTAGGATGAACTCGGCTTGCGTGGGCAGTGCGGCGGGAATCCTGGCAGCACTGTCCTAGGAAACCTTTTCCACTCCTGTGCACTGCTCTGTTTCTCAACAACTTGCAACAGACCCTTGTTCTGCTCCAAGTGGGGGGCCCTCGCCCCCAATATCATGAGAAGGAATACAACACAGAAAAGTATGCTCAGGAGGATTCGCACAGACATTTCTGTGTCCAATTGCCAAGGGTTACCGAAGCAGAGAGGGCAGATGGCAAGTTCCCTGCCCAGGACTTGTTCATGGATGCCCAGTCCTGCTACAGGACACTCTGCAGAATCGCATTGTGGCTGGTCGGTGCCGCCGAGGTGGTTTCAACTCTCCACGGGCCCCCGGGACAGGGACAGAGACCGGCCTCGGAGGACGTTTCTGGCTTCAGTCTTTACAAAGGCAGATCACCAAGTCTTTCACCGGTGGCACAGCTGGCTCGACGAACCTTTCAGTTCAGCCACTGTGAGTTTAACCATTGTGCCATCCGGAACTGCATCATCATGTCCAAACTTCTTTTTGTATTCCAACGATGCATTCAGCTATAACGGGTGATTGATTGGGCCTAGCGTCATAAAGAAGCTCACAAGTGGCCATCGGGTCTGAGGTTACTTGGCATCTCTCCATGTGATCACAGAGAAGATTAAGAGCCAGTAGAAGGCTGAGAGACTTGTGCTTCCCTTTGCAAATCTACGGCACTCTCCTGGCTTCAATGTTCTAGTCTGTAAACAAATGAGGCTGGGCAGCTCTCCGATTCTGTTAGACTTGAAATGCATCCATCCACCTTCCCATCACTCAACTTGCAAATGCCAACCATGTGTAAGAGGTAAAATCCCATTAGGGTAGTTTTCCATGAAATGCCATTTCTTACCTGGTCATAGTACCGCAGGTAATACTTCACAACGTAGTCCACCAGATTAATGCCGGTGTCCTAGGTTTCAAAGGGGCAAAAAAATGAAAATGAAAATCATCCACGTTCCATACACCTCCCGTATATGCAATGACAGAGTTGAGAGCTGAAATCTCAGCTTGTGCTACCTCTACTGGGTGACACCTCTTCCTAAATTCTGTTAGAGACTAGCAAAACTTTTTCCTTCTGCCTTGTCCTATGCACGTAAAAAAACTGCCTTACAAATCCGGCTAGACCAGAGGATGTACACTGGTACAGATAGGAACTGGAAACACAGGGAATCCAGGGCGGATGATCCCTTCAGGGCCAGCGGTGAGGGTGGCGATGTCCGGAGGGTGGGGTGGAGAGGGGGAACCAATTATAAGGATCTACATATAACCTCCTCCCTGGGGGATGGACAACAGAAAAGTGGGTGAAGGGAGACGTCAGACAGTGTAAGATATGACAAAATAATAATTTATAAATTATCAAGGGTTCATGAGGGAGGGGCAAAATGAGGAGCTGATGCCAGGGGCTTAGGTGGAGAGCAAATGTTTTGAGAATGATGAGAGTAACGAATGTACAAATGTGCTTTACACAATGGATGCATGTATGGATTGTGATAAGAGTTGTATGTGCGCCTAGTAAAATGATTTAAAAATAAAAACAAAAAACCAAAAACAAACAAAAAAGTTGCCATCTATGCAAAGAAGGGACACCGGACTATGGCTTATGGAGAAGGAAAACAAACAGACAATCTGGCAGACCTTGGGGGGACTGCGTAAAGCAAACAAAAAGGGCCCCCTGATATTTTCTGCCACAAAGCCAAGTCAGGAGGGGTTGGGGAACCAGGAACTAGAACAGAAAGCCATCCCTCCCCTTCCCACCTTTCAAAAAATGTGTGTTCTTAATGGAGTGTTAAAAAAAAATCAGGGCAGCTTAAAAGGAACACCATGCCACTTTATGACCCTGGGAGGCCAGGGGCGAGCAGACCCTCCCACAAGACAGCCTTTGTGTCTTGTTCACATGGGTCTAATTCTAATTTGCCTGTGTGTTTCTCCTCCCTCCCCCCACCGCCCCCCCCCCCACGGGATGCTAGACATGGGGTGGTTGTTTCTGAAGAAGTGGCTCTGCAGGGGTGTGGAGCCAAGGATCATCAGGCTTAGAGAGTTTGACAGCAGACCCCAGCCCAATTGTCACTGTGGGCGAGAGAATAGTTCAAATGCTCAGCTTAACCAGTGACTCAACACTGCTCTTCCACTCGGGAATGAACACATTACACGTCGAACATGCTCAGTTCGAGTGGACTCAAGCTTTGTTTGATGGCTAACATCAGATGCTATATATATTTTCGGCGCTCCTTGCAGCAGCCCCTCAACGCCCAATTGTGTGCTTTAGCACAAACAAAGGGTAGTGATTTTTACCACTCCAGGTAAGATCTAAAATGAAGACCTTATATTCCTTTAGAAGCTAAAAGAAAGCCAAGGCAAAGATGGGTACTCAAAAATCGGGACTGTGAACTCAATGATTCAGACTATGTGTTTTCTCTCTTCAGAGGTACAGATGTACATAGTAATAGCCCATCACCATTCATCACGAAAAATAAGTAAATACTTAACCCGACTTTTGACATCCTTGAGTTTGGGCAGGATTTCTAAGCTGTAGCCATCTGCTTGTCCCCGGGTCCTGTTTCCTGCATTCATGTAATTTCCAAAAGCCAGAATGAGTGCTAAAATGTCCTTCACACTCTTCATGTGCAGCAAACCCTATGACAGCAAATATCAATTACTGTGGCGTTCGGTTACAGATGACAACGTGCCTGTGCTTTTCCAACGTACGTGTCTGGGGGCTTCAGTGGGGCATGTGCCAAACAGGAACAAGAGTTGGTGACATGGAAAAGACATCTTTCTGAGCCATCGGTGTCTTTAAAAACACTCCAATCACCATTCCTCCTATCCACTAAAAGAATTCATTAGAAACAGTACATGCCCTAATAGTTCAGATTAAGTATCAGAACTCTAAATTCCATTTTAGACAATTTTATTTTTTTAATGGTTATATTAAAGTGGCTATCGGGGGGTAAAAACGGGTTGCTTTATTTAGCCTTAAATAGACTTCTATGAGTTCTAACTAGAAAGTAGTTTTGCGTCATTTAACAATCTATTTGGGGACCATCAATCTATATCAACAGTCTAGTTAAATGTGAGAGAGATCTACTCGTATGTTCTCCCTGGCAGAACCTGTAGGAAAGACGTCTTTGAGGCCACAGACTGTTTATTAAGTGTTTGTGGAGCTGTCTGTTAACTTTTACAATTTCAGACTGTGCATAGACTTTTCTTCAGTCCCGTTGGTTTTCCCACTCATTCCTGTTGTTCCAAGTGCACCTTCCCCATTGGAATGCTCCCACACCGCCTCCTCTTCCCCGTGGGCTTGGCTGCTTTTGTTTTCTTTCGTTTCAGGGTAAGGAAAGCAGCAACGCTCGGCTTCCAGGCAGACTGCTGCTCCTCCTTTTTGGGGTGCGACGAGTGGGTATTTATTAGACTTTGGTAACATGCATTATTTCTCTACTGGGACCTCTAACATTTTAGAGGAACAAAAATCATATACCCTCAGTAAAGTAACTCATTATTTTATATCATCCCTCCTGAAGGGGCAGTCAAAGCCGTGAACTGAATGCCAGGGTAAATGCCAGTGTGGCCGAGCTCATTACCATGAACAGTTTGACCGATTACTTTCTAGAGTTGTTTATTTTCGCATGTAGACACACCTCAGATGGTCCAGCGTGGGTCTGATGCAGAAAATCTCCTTCGCCATCAGGAAAACAAGCTAGACCCTTCGGGCTGTCTTTTGAGAGGCTCAGAATAGGCGGGGGTAGATATCTGGGATATTTAAGAAGGAGCAGTCTTTTCACGTACCACTTTGCCTCCTCCTTTCCCTCCATCTCAGTTGCATTCTTCATCTTCTCCTCCTCCTCCTCCTCCTCCTCTCTCAGCCTCTCCTAGACTCACTCCTTCTCATACTTGGGGCAGGATAACTATCCCCAATTAAACTTAGGAAAACACACGGTCCTAAGTTCAAAAGGTCTTGTCTCAGGGACTCCAGTTGGTATCTCCCACCTCCCGATTTCCTCCTCTACCCCTAATAAGGGCCAGGCTCTTGGCCAAATGAAGCAACAAGCATACCTTAGAAGCTCTTGTGAGGATTTCTACCTTTCGGTGCAAGGAGGTGACACTCTCTGAAAAGACAGACCTGAAGATGATACATTGGGCACGTTCCGCGAAATTGGGGATCTGGGCCAGCTCGTGTAAAAATCTGCAACGATAAGAATAAATCACCTGGCTGCATAAACACTTTCATGGAAAATAAAGGGACAGCTGAAGCAACAAGAATGCATTAGATGGGCAGACTCAAGAAACTTTGGGGGGTATGTGTTCAGTTCATAGCAAAGTGCCCCCACCCCCCTCCCAGGCTTCTATGATGATGAATAAAGACATGGTGTATAGGTTACTTTAGGAACAAAGTGTTCCTACAAGCACACTGAAGCACAACAACTTATCTCCGCTAACCAAGAGTATAGTGTAGGAGAACAAGTACACAGTGAATTAATTTTTTTTTAATTGAAAAACACCAGACTCTCTAAAAGTATGTTTATACAAAACAAGGGGAGTGGGCACGTGAGGCATATGTCTAGAGCTAAGTGATTAAAGACATTAAAATGAAAAAGACATATCTAATTGTAAAGTGAGATGCTGCTGCTGCTAACCACGACCAAACTCAGTGAGGAAGATAATAGTCCCAAACGATCAGGTTTTCCCCGGCGCCGCCCCTCCCTCCTTTATGGTCCTGTCTCTCAACTTAGATGCATAGAAACAGTTCCCAGCTTAGTGCTCGGAACAAAGCGGGCACTCACTAAGCAGGCACAATCTAGTTTCTCAAAGTCCTTAGAAGCCAAAGGTGGGGACTGACCTGCACACAGTAGCTCACTGTCTGAGTCGCTGGGCACTGGTGCCTTTTGCAAAATTAGTTTGGAACGGTTTCTTACTCTCTAGTCCAGCCGTCGGAGGAAGGGGAGGGGGGAGAAGCTAAAATTGGTGGAAATGCTTGCACACCAACTCAGCAAAGGAGGGATCAGCTAAAAGCCATTAATGTCATTTTTAGAGTTGAGATGACTAACGGATGATTTCTGAAAGCCTCCGTCAATACATAATGGCATTGCCCTGACATTTTGCAACTACTTACCAAGAAGGCTTTTATACAGGAGCAAGGTTGGAAGCCTTCTTCTTTCTCTGTCCAAAGAAAACTCCTTGGTTCATTATCTCTCCCTCCTTTATCTTTAGGGAGATCTGGTTTTTAATAAATGTCTAATGATCAGCTGTTGGCCCAATTAATGCTAGGAGCCTTAATGGCGCATGGAGCTCAGGACTCAGCTGTGAACGGAAAGGGGAGCAGTGTGACCTCACCAGCTGCTCCCGGGCAAGAGACCCGGTCATCTGTGACTGTCAAGATCACAGCCTTGGGAACCCCTGGTGTGTTCTTCTCTGTCTCGTAGGGTCCCTAAAGCTAGTCACAGTCCATTCGCTTTTTTTTTCTTTATAAAAAGACCTTTAGAATGAAACAAGAAATAAAAGAAAACATCCCCTCATTTTAAATCTCTATCCCTCTATCATGAAGAAGTCATCTGATGCAATATGGAAGTAGAAACCCAGAAATATTCTGCGTTATGACAAGATATAAATGATATATTTTGCTGTACGTATCAATTGTATTGTTTCTCGCCACCGCTACCTGCTGCCTATAAAACTAGTATTAAGCGACTGTTCAGTGATTGAAAGTAGTGTTTCCCCCAGTCTAGGGGAGATAAAACGCCTGTGGAGTTGGCCACACCTACTCCAGCAGCTCTGCGTTCTGGTGCTGGTACACGCCACCTTGAAGGCAGCACCCTGCGTTTCTCTCGCTCCCAATGTGACCAGAGACAAGACAACCTGTCCGGAAGCTGAACCTGTGTACTCTCCCTAGTTAGAGTGGTCACGGTGAGGGGGGATTCCCTGGGACACCCGTGAGAACTTTCCCAGTGGCTCCCAAGCCCACCAATAGCAAGGGGGAAATGCTAGATGCACAGTTATGTGTATCGAACTCTCGAGAAGGTTCAGGGTGAAGAAGAAGAAACAGACCGCAGACGCATCAACCTGTGCTCTGAAGGAAAAACCAGAATGGGCAGGTGTGCAGTCCTTATAGTGAAGGCTGACTGGGAAGGGGGTCTGCACTCAGCAGGCTCCCAGGGCATCTCCAATCCCAATGCCCTCTGCACGGGGAAGGATCACAAACACATGCCCAGAATTGAAGGGTGTCAACGATAAAATACATGTCAACATGACTGGGTTTAGATTCTCAATGGTTCAGCAGGTATGTAATGATATGATACGGGAGTTATATAATGAGGTGACCATTCCATGAGGTGCTCTGCTGCAATCAAGCAATCAGTTCTAAGAGGATTTGGGTGGGATGCCACAGTAGTCCTGATCTGATGTGGAGGGGAGTTTCCCTGGGGTGTGGCCTACCTCACCTTTGATCCTACCAAAGATGGATTACCGAGAGAGTGCTTCTCATTAGAATTGGTACCCTGAATTCAGACGTGTGGTCTTCTAAACTGCAAGAGAATAAACTTCTGGTTGTGAAAACCTCCCCCGTGGCACTTCTGTCGTAACAGCACCAGACAGGAAGACAGAGGGTGAAGGGAAGTTTACATTTCTTTTATAAAGATCTTGGGACATCATGGAAAATTAATTCCACAGAGCATTAGTCAAGAGGATTCAGCAGGTCCTTGAGACATTTCGGAATCATTTACTGAGCGTCAGGTACTGGGCTAAGACGTGGGAACAGAATTCTAACGAGTGTACACTCCTGCGTGGATCCTGAAAAACGCACCAGTGCCTACTGAGGAGCGTGGATGTGGCATCGGTGAAGAAGTACATATGGGGGGGCTACGGGAGCCATGCACAGGCATGAGTGGGGGCCTTAGAAGGAGGCCAGTGGAGGTGTCCTCTCACCCTGTGATTCTTGTGCATGGCCCGTGTGGGACACTGCTGAGCAGAGCTCAGACAAGTTGATTGACATGGGGGAGGGGGGAGCAGTAAGGGGGGAAGCAGTGAGCAGAAGTTAGAAGTTAGAGGAGTTTTGTGGTCTAAAATAAGGAGTACAATTTTTTTTTTTCCTGAATGAAGGGTTTAAGGAAGAGAAGTGATACTTTAAGCTTGTTAGTTTAGCAAATCGTGATGGCAGTGGCTTGGCTGATTGGAGGTGATGACAGATGTGAGGCTGGGAGACCTACTAGACCTTTGCTGCCTTGGTGGCGTAGTGGTTACCCATCGGGCTGCAATCTGCAAAGCCCGCAGTTCAAAACCACCAGCTGCTCTAGGGGAGAAGGATGGGGCTGTCTACATCCGTAGAGTTACAGAGCAGTTACACCCTGCCCTACACTATGAGTCGGCAATGACTCGGTGGCAGGGAGGTATGTTTGGGGTTTGGTAATATCCCGCGAGGGAAGGGAAGACAGGAAGGCACACAGGTGAACAGAGAGGAGCAGCCGGATCCTACAGGAGCTAGGGAGCACTAGACCTGGTCTCGCAATGCACCCTGGGCTGCTGAGAAGAGTCTAGGATGACTTATTGGCTCCCGTATTAAAAGTTATGAAATACTGGAGGAGCAAATTTGGGGGGAAATATGATTTGATGTCATGTTCATCCACAATCAGCCATGCTGAGGTCTGAGAGAGAGCATTGCAGTGACCTGTCCCATTTACCTGGGAAAGTCCCCAAAATACAGGTTATTTCAAGGGCTATAGAGCAATGCAATGGTCTCAGAACTATCTCGTCTCCCCAACTGTGTTTTAAACTCTGTACTCTGACAGGTTGAGAGAATAACCTTTATCCATAGTCCTGAGCACAGGGCCTTGGGACTTATATTCAAAGATCGACTTCCTTGGGCTGGTCCAACTTGACCCTTTACTGCAGGGTTTCCTAAAGTGGGTGATACTGCTCCCTGGGGTGGGGGTGGGGGCATTGGGATAATGCAGAGGGGTGGCAAAAGCAGATAATACCTATACCAACCCTGGATGATGGGTTATAGTACAAATGTTTTTTAATTGCCGGGGGCTGCTGTGTAACTTTCTTTTTTCTGAAAAGGGGTCAGTGGGTCAAATAAGTGTGGGTACCTATGCTTTATAGTCAGGAGTATAAAGACTATGTGTCCTACAAAGAAGCCATAAACAAAGGCTCTTTACATTCCTTCGCCAATGCAGACCCGTTTCGTGCAGGCTGTTAACTTCCACCTATGCGCGTAACTTTTGTGCCTCACATGGTGTGGGGTACCCAATCCATAGAAGCTCCTTGGCTCACAAAAGTGGCACAATGCTGGGGGATTAAGGCTTTGTTTGGTATTTCCTAAACTCCCAAGTGGGCATGATCCGTGCATATAGTCTAATGTCGCGTTGTGACTTCTGTTCTGCCATGGGGGAGTTTACATCCCTGACCTTGTTCCACTCGTCCACATGTCTTCTCTGTGGGGACCCAGGACAGCAGTGGACTCTTTACGGGGTCACTCTGCAGGCTGGAACGGGCATGCAGAGGCATAACCCACCCTGGCAGAACCCCACCTCGCCTCGCCACAACCACGAGGCCTGGCGCGAGTGAACTGAAGACCATCCCCGCAGTAGGTGACTCTCTGTCAGGCCGGTCCTTGAACACAAGGCACCTCAGAGGGAACTGCCTTTCGAAATATGGCACTGGGGTGTAAGAGAGCTGATGAGGTGAGTGATGAGGGCAGCCCCTCCGTGCGGTGATTTATAGGTCCGGGCACTGCAGGGCTCAGGAAATTGCAATGCTAAGACTGTAGATGATTCATATTTTCCAGTATGTGAAACATGCTTATAGCCGACTCATTGGAGCTAACGGCAAATAAATTGCCAGAGAATCAGACTCTGGTATAAGTCAAACAAATGGTTCACTGTGCAGCAAAGGTGACAATCGCTCCGCACGGCTCAGCCCAAGCACAGCACCTCACCAGGGCGACACGCGATTCTTCTTTGCTGTCGGCGATGGCTCTGGGTCTTCAAGAAGCCATTCTGAGGATCATTACAAACCTTAAAACCTTTTCCTTTTTGTTTCCTGATAAGATCATCAAAGGAGACCACAGGAAGTTGGTTCTGTTCAATTCAGCTTGAACACAGTGCTACAGAGGCAGTAACACAAAGGGGGAAGGGGCCGAAGCAAGGGTGTCTCCCCCACTGTCCTGTTCATTTCCTTAGGTCAGCCACTCGCGTGGCTTCAAGCAGCCAAATCCAGCCCACCAAGTCTTTATGTCCAGCTCGTGAACTAAGAATGGGCTCTTGCCATTTTAAATCACTGGGGCCCCAAAAATCAGTAGGAAGATACTATTTTATGACCCGTGAAAATGATACGGAGTTCTAATGTCAGTGTCCACAAATAAAGTGTTCTAGGAACACAGTCATCCTCTTTTTTTCTAGTGTATTGACAAGGGTTTCTTTTATCAGACAATGGCAGCGCTGAGCGCTCCAACTACATGAACTACAAAACCTACCATATACATTATCTGGCTCTTGACGGGGCAAGGCTGCCCAGTGCTAGCTGGGGGAACGGCTTCCCACCTCGATGGGGCTGGCACTAATGAAAGGCTTGATCGGCCTGTATCCAAACACCCCGCTGTGGCCTGTTCAGTGTCTACATATCGCATCGCAAGTCACTTAATTCCCAGTCGTTAGCACTTTCCAGAACTGATTATGGTTGAGCGGATTCCGACTCATGGTGACTCTATAGGACAGGGTAGAGCTGCAGTACAGAGTCTCCAAGACTGTAATCTTCAGGGAAGCAGACCTCCCCATCGGTCCCCTACAGGATGGCTGGTGGCTTCAAACCATCCACATCTCTGTTCGTAGCCCAGCACTGCACTATCAGGGGTACTTTCATTAGCATATTAGGAGGAGTTGATTTATTAGATGAAGATAACCCATGATTTGGGAATGGAACACAGGATTGGCAGGGGTGGGAGTTGGTAAGGGTTTGAGTAAACTGACTTGGAAGGCACAAGAACCCCATTTGCACTGATTCTTAAGATTCCCAGGCTATGAAGAAACTGTGTGTGTCTCTGGGCGGCAGTTTCTGAACTGGACTCCGTGGAAGAACAACTTACCTAAGTCTCCCAGTGTCTTCATGAAGGTTGGTCAACAGCTGAGTAAACTCAGACTCCACCTCCACTAGTCCTGGGCCTGAACGTCCAGGTCTCCATGGGAACGGGCCAGTAGTCCTTCTAGAGGACTCAAGGCCAAGGGCACGGTGTGATGATTTCAGTGCAATCCACATAACCTCAGACTTCTCTAGGGCTGACATGCTACCTTGAACCTGACTACTCAGCTTCTTCAGTGTTTTCTGCTTTGCTTTGCCTCCAGGTTGAGAAGGCGGAGCTGAAATGGACATGAAGCAGTCAAGGAAGCCAGAAGCGAAGGGGCTCTGTGGCCTGGCTGGCTCCATTCTAATTCTTACAGAGTCTGGGTCCTGAAAGCCTCGGGGGTGAGGGAGAGTGCGCCCTGGGGTTGGTTGGTGGGCTTGCAGGCTCCAAGGGAGTCCGGGAAAAGACAGAGTGACTGAAGCACGCATGAGACTTCTGGGGCGAATGACAGCCCAGAGCACAGAGGGAACAAAGCTAGTGAGAGGACGGATGGAGAGAAGCAGCAGCACAGCTGGGAGAGGACGACAAGTCGCTTCTGCACGGGGCCCAGCAGGTGGAGCGAGCTGGGCGGAAGCTGGCTCCATCAGCTGCACTGACTGAGAGGGTCCTGAGAAAACCGCATTTGGATGCTGTGACGCTGCGGTCATCGTTCTAACGGCATCAGCAGAACCTTAAACAGAGCAATGCCTTCTTCTTCCCTCGGTTACCCTTTTGGCCAGAATGTTTAGTCTAGAAGGAATTAACAAATTGCTGGGGCAAGAAAGGGGAGCAAACCGAGGGGGACGAGGGAGGGAAGGAGGGGAGGGGTGAGATACTGTATCCAGCAGCACAAATCTCGCTGCTTTTCCTGACAGCCACCCTGCATTGTGCAATAGGTCATGGGCATGACATGCTGGGACTGAGCTCACTGGCGGCTGGGGCTTGGTTATTCCCGGCTGGGAGGCAACAAGACGCAGATGGCAGTCTGCCCTGTGGTGAATAGAAAAGTGTTCAAGCAGACTTACTGTTCAGGTTTATCCAGCAACTTCAATTCTTCTTCTTTGGATGTCTCGTAATACTTTCTTATTTTAACCAATTCATCCTCTTGAGCTCTCTGTGTTGAAATGGGGGTGGGGAGGGGAAGCAGAGAAGACCATGAGAATTTGCATAAAGCAGAGCCTGCAACAAGTTTAAGTTTAGTCCCTTGACCACAAGCACCAACAGCACCTGCCGTTTGTTAGAAATCTGCATCACTGCCCAGACCCACAGAGGGAGGAGGTCCCAGGAGTAGGGGCAGCAAGCCTTCTGGGTGATTCTGGCACACGCGAAACTCTGAGACTCATGGCTCTCATGGAAATGGTCCTAACAAATGAGCCAAGTGGGATGCAGGAGGCAGAGTGTTTGATGCTATCTCAGAATACCTGGGCTCCTCCCTTGTAAACAGGTATGGAACAAATAGACTGCATCTGCGTTTCCATCCTTACCCCCCAGGCAGCCCTAAGTTCTTTCACTTCTAGTTGCCATCTTCCCTTTTGTCGCTTGTTGTGTGCCCCAGTTTGGGCATTGAAACCATGCCGTGGTTTTCTCAAAGTACAGGCAGCTTCCCTCTGCTGTGAGTAGCCAACCAGTTCTGATCCTGTGTATGGTGCCGGCACCAAGCAGACGTGGAACAAATCTCTTAACATTTATTGCTCCACCCTCATTTGATAGATGATTCTACCAGAGCTTGACTTCATTAACTTCCGAATCGTACTCTCCCCCACTATACTATGCTGCCTTCCAGGCAGGACACAAATGTATTATTAATCTCGAACAACCTGACACTTGTGTGCGCTTTTTTGGGGGGTTGTTGTCTATTTGTGGAAGCCTTACGAATGGAAAGAAGTCAGCCCTCCCTACCCAGGCACAGTAAGCAGCTCCTGCTCTACCCGTAGGAAGGAGTCCTGGGGGCGCAGTGGCTGAGCCCTTGGCTACTGACTGGAGGGATGGCAGTGTGAACTCACTCTGGGGTTCCACAGGAGAAAGACCTGCTGATCAATTTCTGTACAGATCACAGGCCAGAAAACCTGTGGGTCAGTTCTACCCTGTCACCTGGGATCATTAAGGCATACAACAACAACGGTGTAGTTAAAGGATGTGAAAAACAGCAAGGGCTTGGCAAGACCTGGGCCCAGTGACACTAAACCGTGGGCTGTTTCCATAAACTTAAGAAGACTATTAGTATGGAAACAGATCGCTTTTTGAGCTTGGTAATCATAGCATTCTACAAAGCCCCGGGCAGCTTCCTGGTAAATGCCGTTATGCAAGCAGAAAAGGATCTAGTTCATTCTATGTTCTGGCGTTTTCAACAGTCAAATGCACTGGAATGGGTGTGCAATCATGGGGCTTCTGACTCTACTGTGTCATCTTTTCAAGAGAGGCTGCCTGGTTATTTCCATGTGTTATGTACATCAAAAGATCCTACACACGTACAGTGTTGTTTGCCTTTCCAAACACATGGCTGCTGCTTTATAAATTGACTGCTCATTTAATTCTCTCTTGCAAACGTATAACACACACACACACACACACACACAGACACACTTAAATAGAACCTGTTATAATTCCCCTTGTTCTAATGATCCAACAGGCCTGGAGAGTTTAAGTAACTGGTGTAAGGTCATTCAGTAGCCACTAGTAGACCTGGACCTCCAACCAAAGATCCCAAACCTATACTCATCATGCTATATTGCTGCCTACATTCAACACCATCAGCTCCTGTTACAAGGAGTCACCATCAGAGCTGGCATGACCCCACTCCCGGGTGTTCTTCTCGGGAGACAAGGGCATACACCGTCACTGTGCAGGGAGCTCAACTTCCCTTCAACCGTAATGGGCTGAGTTCTGTAATGTACCCGTGGTCTCCACCCTACCCTGTGGGTGCGTGAGGAGATTTACCGACCCAGATCCACGGGGAGGGAGGAACCCGGGTCTTTTCTTTTGCCTGGGCTCACTCAGTCAAGCTTGTGTGTCTGTGGTGAGGTTTAGAATACAAAGTCAAAATCCTCAGACCCAAAATGGCTCTGCGAGTTTTCTCAGGTGGAAAGAGTCATCTTTAGACCTTCGCCCTTTTAATGAGTAAAGATACAGAATTCTGAAAACGACAGCTAGGCAGATCGCTCGTCGACACTCACATTTTCATATAAGGCTGCCAGAGTCTCCAGATCGACCACAGAGTCATCCACGTTGAAAATAGCTGCCAGGCATCCGAAAAGAAAAGGGAGAGATGATTAGCGGCCTACACACAGCTTGCAAGCAAAGCAGTTAACACACTGTCTTACGCACGTCGCGCCTTTGGCTCTCTCTAACTCTCCTTGCTTCGGGGCCACGAATGAAAGGGGCCAAAAATGATTCCTATCACTAGCCTGAGCCTTGCTTAATTCTGCAAGCTCTGTGTCCTTGCTGCAGTTTAATTTAGGCTCCCCAGGAGAAGTGTTTGTGCTTTAAAACTAAATCAGTTTTGCAAGTTTGAAGCACAATTTTAAATCTTCCTTCCCGGCTGGTAATTGAAGAGATTTAGTACCTAATGCACCAGAACCGACTCTTGCCCCATTACCAGGAGGAGAGGGAGGAGGAGGGGGAGACAATGTCAGCAAATTAAATGAATTCAGGCATGTGATCTGAGGCACCTTTTCCACGGCCACTGCAAACAGCTTGTTTGGATTAAAAAGACAAGAAAGAGCAATAATTGAAAATTAAGATTATGGAAACCTCCCAAGAACCAATCTTACGGCAACTTCTTGTTCCTATGGCTTTATTCCTAGGTTGCTCTGTATCTTAAATAAGTCACTTAGCATTTGTTGATCTGCTTACGGTTTCATCTAGGGAGATCCTTTCCCATATGTGCTGGGGCACAAACATGGACATTGTAAAGCCATAATGCCTTTGAATATCAAAGTTGTTTGGAATGGGCCAAGTCCACATCTTTAAATAATTATTCAAAACTAATAAGGTTTGTTCCCTCAACCCTACCTCTCTCTCTTCCCTGACTTTCCACTGTGAAATTAACCAGCACGCTAGTAAATTTTCCCCGTGGCAGGCTAATTAATTTTATTAAACCAACCAGTGATATTTAGAATGCCTTAAAATGTTGCTTGTCAACCATTACGCGGGTTCATTGGCTTTGCCCCATGCCTTTTGGAGAAGGGAAGGACCCAGATAAGGAGATTTCTAATAGTTTGTTTCTTCTGTAGCTTAGAACCCGAGTAGTCCCTTTTATGCCATGCTAATACAGTTAATTAACTGAGCGATGATCAGATCTTTACAGAACACCAAGAAATGGACTTAAAATCCCTTCGTAGGCCACTTTTTCCTACTTAGGAGCTAATCTGCTAGCTCCTCCTGGCTATGTGAGGTTGTGAGAAAGAATAAGGTTAATATGTTAGTGATGATGTGCGTTGTCTTGGATTCCACCACGACAAAAGGGAAATTACCCTTCCAGAAAGGCCGGTCTGAGATCACGAAGGGAAACATGTAGTCGGAGGACAAATGAAGGGCTCTGACCTCGCAGGGCTGTTTTTTGAATGGAGACAATATG